AAATATTTGATCTACACACGGTGGGATGCCTCAGAGTAACCGACAACTGAAGGTATATTTTCAAAAAACTTGAAAATCTTCATCCCTGAAAATAGTTACTGATTCCAATTCATGATAATTTATTGCCATACATTTAAATTTGATATTTCTAGTAATAAACTGGTCATAGTTCTGTATTTTGTTCCACCCCAATCAAAAATAGACCTTTAGAGTTTAATTGAACATGAATTTAGCCTGGACAGGAACTGTTTTCCAGCAAGTTCAGTGTCATTCCTGACAAAGCAAACACAGCAAGCGCCAGACATGCAAAACAGGCATTCGTGCATGGCAGCCCAAACACGCCGGGAGTGTTTACTGGCCAGGTGCCACCGGATCAACACTGGCACCTGTTTGTGTTGATCCGAGACACTTCTGCCAAAAAAATACTCCACACTGCCGTTATTCTGGTTCACCTGAATGTGAATAAAACCTACCTAGCACATATGAAATTACTCAGAATCAGAAGAATTTTAACAGTAATTATACCTGTGTTCACTCACTGATGACTAATTCATTTGCTATTATCAATTCTGACTACTAAATATTGTAGGGGACAGGAGTTGTCTATGTTACATTATGGCTATGTAGCATTAAGCTGTGTTTGAAACCTGCATAAAGTGGTATCAGATCTACACAAACCGTAGATTCATTCCTTGACTTTGTGTTTGAAATTCTACATGATGAATTCTAACTCTAAGTACATGTAGATACCAACACAGACGAACTTCCAAGCTCAAACTATAGATCATCATACAAAACCGTTGTCCTTTGGCTAACTTCCAAGGACTGGTCATGACACTGAACCAACCATCTCATCTTCCTCGTAGATCATTGTGTCATGTTTAGAGGAGCTCAGAGACCCGAGTCCTCGTTTTCTATATGTCCTTCCCCAGATCTAATGTTCTATCTTCCTATTAGCCTTATCTCACTTGAACAGTTTCCTCCAAGGTCTGGTTATGCACCACTAGACCTTGTCACAACTGGAATGGCTATAACGAAGGGATATGTACCAGAGCAAGGTACTAGTAAGATATCCAAGGTTCGAAATACTTTTTCCTCAGGTTGCCTTAAGCTTCGTGCCTTTAGACCCAAGCTCCACTGCATTCTGCAACTCTTTATCAAATTCTTCCTCCCTTCCATTCACAACAAAAAGAAACCTTACAATTCACTTTAGTAGATACACGAACCTTGCAGTTGTGCCAAGAAAAATCTACTGACAAATAATTTCTATTGAAGCGCCCCATAGCAATGATTGTTCGAAACGCAAATTACAAAATGGATCTATATCTTTGTCATATCTATATCATGATCAGGACCCTTTGTACTTTGAACTTACAGCTTGGCACATGAAGCACACAATTCAAATTATATACAGAAATTCTTCATACGACTGAAAATAGTAAGTTTACTCAGAATAAGCAATATATCATAATGATAACTGCACTTAACTCTATTTATGCACATACATTTGTACACAGATAACAATCAAATGAGCCATAAACTGTACAAACACTTCTGCAGTCTTTGTTCATGACCTTGACACAGCCAAGGTCAAAATGCTACCAGTCGATCTTGGGGGGTTGTCACAGTCAATTAGCACGTCTGCCACTTAACACTCGGAGATCCAGCCGCCCTCAAATCTCTTTAGCGGTCACGGACAGCGGAGATGGCAGTCGTTAATAGCGCCCTTCATCGTTGGCCGATCTCCGACTTTAACGCCGACTTATAGATCAGGAAATGGGCAGCTTTTGACAACGCTCACCAGTCTATCCTGATAATGATTACCATGTACATCATTCTCTTGCCTGCTTACTGCCTTTTCGGGTCAAGCACAATTTATACGTGCCAACTTATTTTACTGGACAGGTTCTATACACTTGGAACTAAACTGGACAGTACTTTGCCTCCCTGGACATAATAATACGAAGATCGACAAAGCAAAACAATACAATATGCTGTCTTTCTTGTTATACAAATGACTCCCTGATGTATTTATGAACCTACAAATAGGAACTGCTAGAAATGTCTGAGCTCAATACTGACCATACTCCCAAACACTGCTCTGTATGACCTTTCAACTTGAATGACCTCAGCTTCCTGGAAGCCCCTTGCCGCTGCCACACCCCTCCACATGACTGCATTTTCCCAGGGGCTGAACTTCAATTGGGGTGGATTTGGGGAGCAAATCACTCCACAATGACCTTACTGTGTTAGTCAAGATCTGGACACCAAACAAGGGAACATACTGTGGGACCAAGATTAATGTGAACATGGCTGCAAAAGCACCTCTTATAATCCACACATGTTCATGACTGTTGCATGGTTTCCATACTTTCTGACAAGCAAGCCTCAACATTCCTCCTTTAATTTCACCATACCCTGAATTCTTCTGAATTAAAACCCTAAAACTGTTTTCTTACCAACTGACAAATTCAAGGGAAGGTGTATTTGAACAGTCTTCGAATTCACAGCAAAAAAATACGTTGTGTTTTAGCACTTGCAAAAATAAAGATGAAGCTTTCCATCTATGTTCAAGGTTAATGTCCATCTTTTTTATCCGAAATGACTCGGTAGATACTAATCTACTAGTCTATTAGACCATGATTCAAAGTCTCTACATGGAGGTGGGAAAATGTTCATTGAATGATTGATCTGACTGTATACAGGAAACTAGTTCAACCACACTCGGGATTATGCAAGTTATTTGATTTGACTATACAGTATAAACTTGCTGCTGCTTACCCTTAGGGCAACATACACAATATCGGACAAGAAACAGTGTTGATCACTATCAAGAAAGAGGCCTTTTATCAAATGCAGGCTGGGTAAGTGGGCTGGGAGTCCTCTACCAATAGTGATTATTTGCTGTGATAACACCAAAACACACAGTTTATCTCCACACTGGGAAGGCTTGTGTGTTGTAGCAGTAGGGACCGTTTGCAGCACAAACTTGTTGCTGGCAGCTTGGAATGCGGATTGACATGTGAAATGACCATTTGTAACTGTAGAACTTCTCTTTAGACTACTCTCGAATTACTGGTCTCCTCGGGACAAAGTGTACCCAGGTATCAACCTTGTCTGGAATAGCTTGCTCAACACACACATATCTGGTGTCAATGTATGTTGTGGAAGCTTGGTCAATGGTGGCCTGTTACCTACTAGAAATGTTGAACACTACTTTCCCCATGTTTTGAACAGTTTCAACTGGCATTGTTAGTCAAGAACAGCCAAACCTGGCCTAAGTATTGACCAATTCTCTTAACGATGCTTTTAAATACCTAAAACACGTGAGAAATTCTATGCCCCCGGCTGACAAACGGATTGTCACGCCCTTTTTTAACCGGTAATCATCTACACTTCCTAACCAGCAGCACTACCGTAGTACGTTGACCCAACAAGAGTTAGACAACAATAATGATTCATGAATATCTCCCAAATTGACTCATATCTATACTGATATGGCACTTAATTAGCACCCTGCTGGGTATAATCAAATCATTTCCCTTTCGCGATTGTTTTAGGAAGGTCACTGACCTCATAACAAAGGAAGGCCTCAAGCACAGAGTGACTAATTGGCACAAATCTTCAGTCATTAAAAGGCAGGTTTCCAGACCATAACACTAATGGGTCAAGACTCCCCAAACCCTTGCCAACTTTCATAACGAAGGGAAAAAGGTAAAGCCGTCATCATCACTTGAGGTAAAGGATAATGATTGTTCAAGTAGCTATTAGTAGGGTGATGCGGCTTCTCTCGTGTCTCTATGGCTTCCGTTTCAAGCCATGCACTTTGGGTCACCGCTACTCTTCTTGATAAGTGTGTTGGGTTCAATCACGTGCAGAGGTTTCACACCTGAGGCTCTCACATACGTACCTGATGAATCCTGGCATGAAAGAATGAATAACCTGCAGAGACCTGTCAGCCTCTATTATGTCTGAATTCAACTTCTTTAGTGAATGACTCAAGTTGTCAAAAGATCCTACCTACAACAATATTCTAATGTTCTACGTAATACTAGTAACGTTACATTTATGGAAGATGGAAATTGAGGTTCTAACAAAAAGTGGTGGCAACGCGATGGGTCAAAACACAACATTTTTCATGAAATTTCCTAACTGTTTCACTTCACAGAACAGGTTTTTCTCACAAGAACTTCTTGGAAGTCGTAGAAACCTGACAGATCACTACACAGGATAGAAAAATCCCATAAACTGGGAATGTTATCGTAAATTTCCTACAGTAACGTTATACTTCTGATAGTCTCTGTCCTTCCCATCAGGATATCAGGATATTGGTATCTGAAGAATTCTCTTCCCTAGTGGTGCTTGTCTTGTTTGGTGACCCTTGCATAAACTTGGCACATATCCATACTCATCCCAAATCTACCTGCAAATGACTTGCAGGTTTTTTGCCATATCTCCCGGGTGTTGGCAGTTTGCCAGTGCTGGAAAGTGAGGCTGTTTGGACTCGAGAACACCTGGTCTACAAGGACAGGTGGGAAGCGTGGATGACTCAGCCGACAATAGGGATCGTCATTTGACACCTCGACAGATACTTGTACAGGATGACCCAGAAAAACAACCATGTTCGCAAACAAAGGCTATGATGATGATATTGGATGACGTCACGCGTGACACGCTATAGTCTTGTGTCTTCCCGCGGTCTTGCGCACCGTAGTAAACACGTGTAGTGCCTGTGGCCATGACCACGCACTTCTGTGCGGTGCGGTCTATGTTAAAGCGCAATTCTAGATAATACCTGTATGAAAAGCAAGCGCCATGTTCCGTTTTAAACTTAAATTTGAGCAGTTGTACTTGTACTAAGTTGTAGTAAACAAAACACTTATGAAAACAAATCACTGCTTTTGTCATGCTAACATTTTCTATTGTGTACTTGATTTCTTATACTAGTAATCTAAGGTTTGGGACATACCATTTGATGGTACTAAAGGGGGTGTTCTCACCTTGGCAGGGGTGTAACACTCCAACATGTACCCCCCTGGAGTTTTCACCAGCAGCAGACGACATTTTTCCCACTTGTTCCTTCCGTGATAGTCCTCTCCGACCAGTTGGTTGACGGTTCCCTCCTTCTTGACGTCTGTAACGTCTATTTTGGGTTGTAGTTTGCCTACAGCGGCTCCGTCCTTTGTTTTTCTGTTTGGGGAGCCCCTGGCCCCCGCCCGCTCCTCGGGGTGTCTGGGGAGGGGAGGCGACCCTGTCCCGGAGTCCGACGACTGCCGCCGCAACATGCGGCTCACGCTCCCCTTCACATACTTCAAACTTAGCCGCTTTCGTAGCGTGGTTTTCGAAGATTTATGGGGGCTTGCTCTCCTGGAAAGATCGTCCGCGCTAGGGGAGACAGGGGGTAAGGAACGCGGGTCTAACTCCACAGAGTTTCTGCCGTGCTCCGCGCTTTTGGAGCGCGGCAGCTGCGAACTTGTAACGGGGACTGCCCCCGGACCCGACCTGGGAGGTTTGGATGAGGACGAAGAACTTACTGATCGCAAGGTTACTTCTTCCTCGTTCTCTCCAAAGAAAGGTTTCTGTATCTCGGGAACGAAGACTCTCTGTACCTGGTCGTCGAAGTGTTCCAGGAAATGTAGGGTGAACCTTTTGGCGAAGGTGGGGCCTGCTTCGGGAGTGTCGTACTCGGGATGATCGTTGAGGTACTTCCGAAAGCTTCTTGAGAAGTCCACGGCGGCTTGTTGTGCCTTAGATTCGCAGAATTCCATCCATCCGTGCGAGGAAAAGGGGTCCAAATGGCCACCCAAGGCGCCGTTGGCGGCTGCCATGTCTTTTTCCCGGCCTCCGCCCAGATTTTTGCGGGAATTTTTGCCTGTTTTCGAGGAATCTCGTGTTCCGCTCCTCCGGACTAACACTTGAATGGAAATGGAGCAAAATAACATGCGCACACGCGCTGCGCACTGGGCACCGGAAGTGTACGGGACAAAGGTCAAAGAGCACTCGAAAACCGCGCCAAAGTTTACCCTTTTCTGGACAATAAAGTTTTAAAACATTTTCGCCATTTCAACGATGGCAATATATGGAAACTGTTTTGAGCAAAAACTGTGCTATGCCATACTTTTCTTGTCATTGGAAGAAAACGCGAAATCCAAGTTTGAACAAACTCTGTGTCGTTATTTATTTGGTCAATATCAAATTATCAAATTTTAAAGAATCTTGAGTTTATAAAATTAAAAGTTGATAATCGGGAAAATTATAACGCCAGATCTAACCTAACAGTGGCCAGGAAAAAGTGGCTAAAGGGGCAACCAGTTCTTTGTGACCATGCCATATATCATCTCTCTACATCATATATCACCTTCCCGCGACCCCCAGCAATGTGACATGCCATTTCTTTGGCTTTGATGCTGCGGGAAGTTTGTAAAATGTGGCTGGACGGTGGGTGTGGAAATGGGTCGGGAATATCATAAATCTCCCAACGTCTGTTGTCAAATCAGTCAGTCAGCGTAACCCAAATACTCATGTCTGTACACATTATATATATCTGATGGGATCATCCGTTATTTATTGGTCAAACGTATCATATATAACTGTTAGTTCTAATGGAAAGGAATGTGGGCGAAGGGAGGAATATTCGGATACTAGGTAGATACTATCTGCTCGTATACATCCACGGTGACAGACCAGGGAGGTTCAATCAGACTAACCGGAAGGCCGAAAGACAATGTTTATGCAGATTTCACGCGATCAATCGTAGCCCCGCTTACAAAAAGTCTGAGCAGCCTCGCTGACGCCTGCACTCCCAACCGGAAAATTTACCATTTTTCATCATTACCAAACTCAATCCGCGTGTTTTGTCCCATTGCAACGTTTTCTCCCTTGTTCCTACGACGTTTAACAATTCAAAACACGAAGGGAATTTCTAAGGGCGGGGTTCTTGGTAAAAAGTAGGTCGTTTTCTTCATAAATCACGACAAAGCGTCTGTCCCCTGTCGTGATTTGGTCTTTTGACTAAATATTTGCCATTTGTAAGGATTAAATTTGACGTTACTTTTGTTCGTTTATGCTGCCGTAACATACCAGATCATACCGCAACCTCTACTTCTCAGTGCCTTTTTCTAGTAAGTGTACCATGATATTCGTCATTCTCATTTGGCTCTATTTCTAACTGTTATAATATGATTAGTCGGATCATTTGATGTGTAGTATATATCATAAAGAGTAGTACATGTAGCAGACGTCCTTTTCTGTCATCTGCTTGGCATCCCGACATTTAGACAGGGCTCTTTTTTCTTTGGTTTCATGGCTGAGGGAAAGTGGCGTACATCACATGTTTTTTGAAATGTGACAAATCCATGAACCATATAAAATGACGCAGGTACGTCCGTGTCTGCTTGCGCACAGGGTAGCCCACACTGTCGCCTACGCGGAACAGTTCAATTCCTCATGTCAGAACTGAGCGTCATACCTACAACATTGACGATCTCCTGTAGCTGTGAAATAGATCCGTCCACACATGAGTCATCAGATGCATCAGGCTATTTTTTATGCTTTTTGTACAGCTTTCTAACGGTCCGTCTTTTTCGCCTTCCTCCTCAAGAACAACACACGTAAAAGTTGAAATTGATTGCCACCATTGCAATATTCAAGCAGATGTACGGTTTCAGTTTCTTTTGCACGTCACCACAATGGAGGCGAAACGTTCCCGACCGATCACGAGGTGTACTACGTTTTATGTAGCATCTACCAGGCTTCGGGAGGCGGCTGGAAAGAGTAGAAACTGGCCAAATAGGGAAATAACATGCCGAGGGAGTTGGTCTGCTGGCGCTATAGACTTCTAATAGAGAGTACTTTTTTTTCTTTTCGGGTGCGGCAAAATGTACTCTCTAGTGGACCAACTTCCTCGGCATGTTATCTCTCTATTTGGCCAATTTCTACAAGTAGAGCTCTTTCCAACCGCCTTCCGAAGCCTGGTAGAGGCACGTTTTATGTACGTTGTCGTTGCATGCTTGGCTTTCCCGCTGTGACGATGAATTATGGGAGAGACGCGTGTCTTTCCAGAGTTCGCCTCACCTCTCGGTCAATAACCGACCGTCTGACGTGCAACAGCGTGTTTCTTCTGCGTGTCTTACCGGGAAAATATACTCCTCACGTCACAGACTTGACCTGATCGATATGCCTTCCCCCACTTCCAGGTAAGTGGAAATGGCCTCGGATTAGCCATATCAAGAGTAAGGTGTAGAGGTGTCTATAGAGAGTCAGTACTGAAATATCCATGAGGATGGGCGGTCATTTTTTTTCTGATACAATGTACTAGTATCAACGTGCGGTTTTCTTATCGTAATAAACTGTCTTCTGATGTCGTTTTCTCCAGCATTGATTGTTACGGATTAGTACACAGCGGAACCAATCAGAAAAAAATCCACCAGGAGGCTTGGGTTTAAAAAAGATGGCTAAAGGATTTATGGCTCCAGAAATTGGCCAACGTTTCATTATATACCAGTGGAATTAACCGCATCTTGGCAAATGACTTTTTTTCAGCAACCTAAGAAGCCTGGTGGAGACTAAAAACGGTGACCATAAAGCCTACTCTGGTGGCTACCGGAGGGTCGACTCGAAGTTGCCGCCTTGTGGAGCGGCAATACTTGATGAAAACAAATTAAGACAACGCCTAGAACTAGTCAAAGTCAGGTTCGGTTCAAAACAAAATGGATCTACCACAGCCATCATCAATATAATCTTGTGACAAAATAATTCTCACGTCTCCTGAAAAGAGTCTTTCAGCCACGATTCTTCAAGTTGCACCTAACTTGCTTACAGAGTTGAGTGATTGTTACACACACTTATAATTACACCATTTTCCTAGATGGTGTATATTCCTTTATGGCTGTTCCCCACATAAAATCTGCAATTCAAAGCTTCTATGGGGCATATGCAGTGTTTGTGCCAAATTGTGCGTTGTGTTTTCTGTTTCTATGGCATAAGACGCCCGGGGCATTATCCGGAAGCAGAGATCGTGGCTTTAAACCCGATCTGGTTTGCTGGTACACACACTCTGACAGAAATCTCATCCGTCAAACCTTTCAGGTTCAAAGTGTTGAGTTCGACATCTACACGAATCTACAACACCATTGATCCAGTGAAGGAAAAGGGCATGCCGTGCCTTTCATATCCTGGATACAGTTCTCATATGGCAGTGACAGGTGAGATTGTTGAGATAACGATCTGGGGAAAGACCTGCGCCCGTCTGGCTGAGTCAGACCGTACAAAACAAAAAGCCTTCTCAAAACAACACGTCAGGTGCACCGCTTGTGTCGTTTGCTGATGACGTCGTGTGCAGCGTGTGCCCGCGGGGGACGGTATTGGCTGGTGTCCAGAGCGGCTACTAGTATCTGTTTCCAAAATTTCGGAACTTGGGCGGGACGTTTTCTGGTTTGTACAACCCTCAGAACGTTTTAGGACGATTTTCAAAGTTACTTTTTGCCAATTCGTTGTTGTTGTTTTGGTCCAAATAAAGAACGTACTTACATGTACATATGCATTGTGATTATTGGTGCAGCTTGTTTCTGTGCTGTTTCAAAACGCACAAAATATGAAATGATGAATGAAATGTGATAGAGAGTGGATGTAAATGTCAGTAACATCAAGATTGATTTAGTTGTCCGGGATTATACAAAATGGGGCATTTTTTTTAATTGTTGCCAGAAGAAAAACAAAACGATATTCCCGCACACGTCTGCTTGAAGATTACACGGCGTTGTGTAACGCGCTTTAATGTACTGCTAGTACTCTTTGATCTCCGTGACACGGCCTGCCTGCGCATGATCTAAAACATCATCCGGTAGACGTCATGAAATCAATAAAGAGTCGGATACGCTGACGCTAACAATGCGACATGATGTCATCATATACAGGTTCCCAACACCTTGTGATGACAGCAATCTGTTACAAATGTACGAAGAGTAATAAAATTACAAGCTTGACTTTTAACTTTGGCGTCACGACTGAAATGGATGTGACTGCCATGTGAGAGCCAAGAGGAGCTTTTATTTTCCTCTATTAAATATTCAACGTCAAATTATGGACGTGTCTAGTAAGAGGCTGAAAGCAGGACTGCCGTGGTTGTGTGTTTTTTCCAACATTTTTATCATTGTCTGTCTCTCCCTCTCCCCAAGCTAGCTATGGAGGCCACTTTCCCTAGGCTAGCATTGGCCATGGATTCCATTGGGGTCCAAATATTCAACCTTGCGGGACATGATATTAAAACGTATGCTAACGACGTTCGAACGTTCCACTGGGAAAACGTCAACTCCATTTACGCGGATGCATTTTTCCTGTCAGCAAACCTTTTTCAAAGGATTTTCAAGACGATACCAATCCATTAGCAGAAGCGCAGGGACTATTTTGAGAGCCCAAAATGAACTCTTTGTATCCGCGTCGACTCTGAAGTATCTGTTTATGATCCAGCCGGCTCAAGAGGCTACCTCGAGTGTTGCGGTCGCCTTTTAAATTAAGGATTAGTGATCACCAATTACAGATCGAAATTGGTAGGTATAACCAGACTCCAGCAAGTAACAGAATTTGCACTTTATGTAACAGTAACTGTGTAGAGGATGAAGAACACTTTGTCTTAGAATGTCCGTTATACACTGATATGCGGAAATCCTTTATCAATTCCTTAGAGTTAGAGAAGAAATATACATACTTGTCAAAAGCAGAACTGTTCAAATATATTATGACATCCAAGCACTACGATGTAAATGAAAAGCTATGTAAATTTATTCATACATGTTTCAAAAAGAGAGAGGAGATCATGTAGATAGATCCTGTAGTTAGAGACGTAGCACAGAAGTATAACACTTGTTACTTATATACCTGTACCTATAGTTATAGCACAGAAGTATAACACTTGTT